TCAAAGCACTTTATATCATTAATCACATTAATAATATGGTGAGTAGGGGTCCAAATCAGGGGAAGTATATTATTTGGAAGTTAATTAAATAAACAAAATGGCCTCTCTAACTGGCCACTAAGGGCCCAGAAGTATGTGCCTAGTTCCAAAACTGTTCTAGTGCTGCTTGAATCTTGACATTACTGGGTAGCCAAATTCTGGATTTTTATGACTACTTGGGATGTCGTGGACTAAAACAGTAACTCTAGGAATCTCCTTGTTAGTCGGTGCCTACTTCCTTAGTTCAATAAAGCTATGCCCAAGAGAATATAGGGACTTAGGGATCCAGCTTTTCACCTTTGGAGAGAGGGCTACTAGAGCTAAGCGTCACTGAGGATCTGCTGCTCAGTTTGCTTTCCCTGACAAACTAAAATCTTAAAAGAAGATAAAAATTTAAGACAGTCTGGAAATGAGACAGACAATGAGGCACCAGTTGTATAATTTCCTATTTCACATTAATGCAAGAAGCCTATTTGGGGATTGGAGGGGGAGGGGGGTTCTTAGCCTGTAGAGAACTGAAAACCATTTCTTACACTGTTGTAAAAGCACTAAACAAATGTTACCTAATATGATTGTAGTCACGAGGTTCCTTTGAGTCAATTTTGACCCATTTCAACTCCAAGTCACAGAACAGAACTGCCTCATAAGTTTCTCTAGACTGTGGTCTTTGTGGGAGCACATCCCCTTATCTTTCTCCTGCAGAGCTGATCATGGAAACGGCATAGAACAGTAAGGACTAGCAAATACTCTAATATTTTGCTCAATTTTTTAAACATCTTAAAATTTGCCAAGGAGGATCCTGATAAGAGAAAACAGTCTTGTTTTTGTCCTTTCTGGAATGGCCATATGGATTTGATCTTAATGTTCTTAAAGAAAACATATAATAGCTTTGAACAAATGAAAGTAATGAATACTTATGGCCTAAATTATAGAGAAATGCCATCTATTTTATGCAATTTTCGTTTTTGTTTTCCTATTAAATGAATATTTTAATAATGCATAAAATTAACTATAACTTTGGAACTTTTAACTATCTATCAATGGTTGTTTTTCTTCTTCAATTTCTAAAAAATGTGTTCAAATAGCCAAAGAGTAAAATACACATCTGAAGATTTAATTGTTTTTTGTTTTTAGGTAACAATAATCTAATTAGATAAAACATAGCTTCCTAGTTATTTGGCCTCCTACCCACTTTTCAGGGGGGAAAACCCCAAAAACTCAGTGCTCCCTTACCAACGAAAAACATTTTTACTATACCCCAGAATGCAGGATAGGGTAGTTCAAGTTCTTGCTTTCGCAGCCTTCTGGATCATTCCACTGTGTGCCCCACCCCCCATTCCCTGAGGTTGGGTTGGGGGTGGGGGTGGGGTTTGCCCACTTTGGAAAACAGTGAGACAAAACAATAACTTCTAGGTAATATTGGTCCATTGTACAGCCAGGAAAGAGTTTTAAAAACAAATCAAAATGCCCTACATGGGCTTATCAGCATTATGTTCATTCATCAGTCTAATCTTTGTTTGCTGAAATGTCATTTGATCAATCATAAACAGAAATTTTTTTCTTTAAAAAGAAAATAGCATGAACTTTATACATGCTTGAATAGGACAAACCAACGAGGGAGGGAGGCTTGTAAAATACACAAGTGTTCTAAAAGAAGTGCAATAAGATGAAGACATGTAGAAGCTAAAAACCATTCACATCTCAAATACAACAGTAAATTCTTACTAAGCAAAACTGCTTGTAAATATTTTTCTATTAAATGCCTAACTGGTTTACTATACCCTTTTTCTTCCCCAGATATGTGTTATGAGAACTCTGTTACGAGTTTTGGTTCATATTTATCAATGTGCTCTGATGTTTCTAGGTGTCACAAAAAAGTAGCAATAACAATACGTCATCAAACTTCTTTTTGATGCTTTTTTTCCTTTTCTTACAGAATTCTTCTTGTATTCTTGAAATACATTTAAGCATCCACAACCCTTTTGGCTATCTCACTTCAGAAGTAATGAGAAGGTCTAAGCACTTCAAGTCGAGTTTCTACTGGGCCATGGGGTAGTAGAGAGCAAGACAGACTGCTTCCTAAGGACCACTTGTGCGTCGATGGTTCGATTCTGACTCCAAGTGACCCTCGGGACAACGCAGAATTATCTCAGCTCACAGACTGTAATCTTCATGGAAGCAGATATCTATATCATTCTTCCACAGAGTATCTTGTGAGTTTTAACTACTCATGTTTTTGTTAGTTGCCCAATGCTTAACTACTGCACACCAGAGCTTCTTTCCTAGTAATCCCACATACCAAACTCACAGCCATGGAATCAATTCTCACTCACAACGACCCTGTAGGACAACAGAAAACTCCCTCAGTGAGTTTCCAAAGCTATAAGTCTTTCTAGGAGCAGAAAGCCTCATCTTTCTCCCATAGAGCAGTTGGCTTATTGCGCCAACCTGGCCAATGAACACATGTGGGATCAATTGAAGGGAGGAGAGATAAATGGCTTGGTGAGCCTCACCTTACTGGTCTCTTGCTCTCTGATGGTCGGACCAGTGTGCGCTGTCTTAGCTAATTCTCTGCCTCAGCTGGCAAGGCCACTTCCTGTGAGACATTCCTGAGAAGTCACATGGACCTACCCTGATGCAGCCCTGGGTGCTAGAGAGGCCGCATGGAGACCCCTGCCAGCGTTGAGATGCATACAACGCCACTGATTCAGCTTTCCTCCTGTATTCAGTGTCATTGCATGTTTTGGGAGTTTGAGAACTTTGCAGATCGGTGTCGGACATATGGATTAATGTCGGACTTATGGGCTTGGACTGGACTGGGATGCTCTTAATATACACTTACCCTTTATATAAAACTCACTCTTACACATGTATGCGTTTCTGTGGATGTGTTTCTCTAGTCTACCCAGACTAACACAGTGGGACTTGATTGTCAACCTTGCAGTCAGCATTTCAACACTTTACTCAACCAGG